AAAGCAATGACTCTCTCAGAACCTGAAAAAGGAAACGATGAAAACTCACTCCAACACCAAACTCAAGAAACAGAATCCTTTGAAATAGCTCATTTTGAAAACCAAACTTGTTATTTTAAAATCTAATAAACAGTTCATTTTCAGAACAGGATCATGCTATCATATAGCCATGCCCACTATCAGGAAACTAAGCAGATCCATGAAAAAGAAAAAAAAGAAGAAGAGGGAAACACAACCATAAGTCATCATCATGCCACAAATTTCTTCAGCAATGAACAATTAATCTCACCTCACGGCTCAGGAAAAATTTCATATTTTGAAAGAGTATCTTGCACTCTCTTGTATCTTCATCTTCTTCGACTTTGCTGGTAGTATCCTGAACAAGATGCATCAGTGCACCAGGTTCATTGGTAGGCAGTTGATGCTGAAGTTGTGCAAGTCTTAACTCAGACTCTTCCTGTGCTTCTTGTTCTGACTTAGATGAGCTAGCAGTTTGAGGTTCGGGCAGAGAGGCTCCAGAGCCAGCATCAATGTATCTTGATAATGCATATAGATCTGCTGAATTTCAAAAGCACAATAGTATTAACTAAAAAAAGGAATGAGGGTGAAAGTTACAAAACTATTTGACAAGAACACAACAGGCACCGGTACTGATTAAAGCGAAAGGCCTACCTGCTGCTAATGCTTCCAATCGAGGATCTAGAATTGGCAGATACTTCAAATTAATTGAATGATAAATTGTGAAATTAACAAATCCTAGGAGTGTCTGCACCCAAAAAATAAATAAGCAAACAAAGACAATCCCCAAACCATGAAGTGTAAATTAAAAATTTACAGTGGAAAAAGATGGAACGGAAAGGGGAAAAAAATGAATGTCCAATTCAAAACATCAGCAAATCCCCCCATCTCTAAATCCTAAAATTGGAATAAGATCATAACCAATAGCAAATAACCCAGGAGAATTCAACTTATGACCTCATAGAATTCCAAAAAAAGTTAGCATGACATCAAAGTCAACATCCTCTGTCAGAACTTGCTGTAATGTATGAGGAGTTAACCACAAGATTTTTTGACCTTCAACCTCAGCCTGCACAGATGAACAACAGAGCTAAGTAGTGAAAACAATGTGATAAAAAAAAAAAAATCTCAGTAAAATATAGAACTTGATAATATGTGCCCTTTACAGATATGAAAACTTTCCTTAATTTATGAGTGTGAGAAATATAGGCTTGCCATGCATGACACAATCTAGCAAAAGAACAAAAATAACAAGAATAAGAAGGCAGGTAGTGTGGTTATTCATTCAAAGGAAGTTTCTATCTTTTGGGTTAACCATATCAACCTTCGACAATTATGAGTGCTCTCTGCTCCAATTTTCAGCCTATCTGAGGCAGGCAACGCTGCAAAAAGGTGCACCATTGAGAGAGCATCATCCAAGTCTCTGATTGCATCAATGAATGTTGGATATCTAAAATTCCAAGCATGAGAGATAATGTCAGGAACTAGTTAAGGATGGAGAGACAGTATAACATCAACCATGAAGAGAAAGAACAATGTACAATGTGTTTAAGTTTAACAAACCTATCCCGGATGAACTTGTCCATCTTGACATGGGGTTCAAGAGATTTCAGAGCTCGTGCTAGCTCCTCATTCTTCTTAGCCTTAGCTTTCTTTATCTTTTTCTGGTATGCCCTGATTTCTCTAAATTTCTCAAGCATTGGATCATGTTGGATGAAGGCAATACGCTTGGTGTGATTGTTAGTGTGGTGGTTTCCCTTGACCTTCTTCTTTGGCTCCCGGGGGAAAATTCCTTTGAGAATGCATAATTTCCTGAAAAATCAACCAAATAAATAAATAAATGAACACACTTCAAAAAGAGTAATCTTCCATGGCCTCAAGCATCGATTCAGTAATCAATTTCTGGAACCCAAATTCATCTCTTTCCTAATCACACTTTAAATTAACAAAACTAAAACTAATTGCTTTCCTAGAGTGGAAGGAGAAGGGAGAAGGATAGAGAGACCTGAAGAGTGGAAGGCTGACTTGAAGGCTTTTGACAGCTTGGGACCTGGTTACATATCTAGCAGCATCTCCTTCCTTCTTCTTACCCTGGAAAATTCACCCAAAAAATAACATAGAAAGTGAACACAAAGGATTGAATTTTTCAATTTCAAATCGAATTCGAATATTAGGGTTCCGATTGAACTCACTGGAGGCCTGTAATGTTTCGGCATGGTTGCAGGGATGCCGGTAACGGAGAAAGGCAAGTGGCGGGAAACAGAACGCCAGGTTTAGGGTTTAAGACATTTTAGAAGAAAAAAGAAAAAGAAAAAGAAAAAGAAAAAGAAAAAAAAAAAGAAGGAAACTTATTACGCTGAAGTTTTCTTAAATTCGAATTGATACCTTAAGTTATTTCTTTATATTGATCAAGTCCTTTTTGTAAAAGTTCCTTCAAATCAGTCCTTTTTTTTCATTTGTTATGAAATAAAATTGACTAGATAACTTCTTTCATTACGGACAAAGCCTACGACAAAAATGAGATGTTTATTAGTTTGGTAATACTATAATTATAATGTCATATATCATTATAAATTTATAATCTTATATAATATTTAATGAAATATGACGTGACATTAAATGAAGATATGCATATAATATTATGTATGAACCCTTAAATAAAAAGAGCTAATTTTATAATAAAATATCATATTGTATATTTATAATATCACATAATATTATAACTATAATATTTTCATTATTAGTTTTATATCAATCAAAGCCCTTCTAGTGGATGGTTAGTGCAAAACAAAATACCTGGAGGAGAAAGAGAG